TCAAGCCCAGAAATTATTGTATCTGATAGTTTTTAGTAGCCAGTTATACAGATCCATCGTTTCGGCCATGTTCCAACAGGAAAGCATTGGAGAATACAAAGGTTGGACGCAGAAATCTGACCGGCATTTTTTCAGATTTTCTTCTGTGAGTTCTAATCAAGTTCTGACTCTTCATTGCTAGAAACAACTTTAGATCACTGGAAAGAAGTCGAAAATTTTCTGATATTAATACTGCTTTAAACTGTCGTTTTACCCAATACTTTCCTTCCAGATTCAGTTATTTTTTCGCGTTTTCCTTTCCAGTGGTTTCCAAATAAATCCTATATTTTTCGTGATCTAGAACTATCAATCTTTATAATTGTAATAAATACAAAAAAATAACACTTCATTTGAAAGGTCTGTCAGTCATATATTATTATTCCTTGCGTCATTGCGCTCTTATCAATATTTGTTTATTCAACTCGCAATCCTTGATACTTTATTACTCTTATATAATATATCCTCTCTTCTCTCTCGCTTAAGTGAATTGATTCTTAATAAAAAGAACATGTAGAAGGGAACAGGAATCCTCTAATAAGGTCAGTAACTTCAAAGTAATTGTGGTAGGGCTTTAAATTCCTGTGGTGAAACTAAGCGTCTTCTGACCGCTTCTCGTCTTGGTTATGCCAGCAGTATAGACGAATATCAAACTATGATTAAGTATTCCCGTTAAACTAACTTATTTTTTTTCTTTTGAAAATCAAAGAGTACCATTTGATATCTAATTTCTGCTTTCTTTATAATCAAGTACTTCATCAAGAATATGTCTACTAGCCGAAGAAGAAAAGGAAAGAAAAAAGCGTTCTCTTCACATCATAAGACAAGAAAAACTACGATGTATTCTAGAAGAAAATTGGAATTTTGTATCTAATATTTTAATGCAGAGCAAGGGATATGAAAGAAAAAACGAAAAATTTACCTACACTACTTCGCACGATTACGAAGATATGAAGCAAAAAATGGAAAATTAGACGAACGGAGTGTACTCTTTTTCTTAATGTATATTGAACGAAAAGAGCACCGATAACTTTTCTTTTTCTCAATTTCTTTTTGATATTAAATCGAGGTTGTAAAGTAATGCAATTTTATTAATGTCTTGTTCTAATAAATTCTACAAATGTTATTTGTCCATAAAATTTAAATCATAATTTTTAATTATACACAAAATTACAATGATTATCAATATTCTATAGGAACTTTTGATTGGCTTTTCAAGTGAACTGGATAAAAACAAAATTGAATCAAAAAGAGGGTTTTTTATAGCTAATTCTATGAAAAAGAAAACCGTTTCTTCTAATATTTCCATCGCTTCGTAAATAATAGCTACAAAAATTATTTCGTAATTCATATAGATAATGCTACAGTAAATATATTTTCATTAAGCCTGTGTTTATATTTGATTTTGCTAAAAAATAAATGATTAAATTTTTGAAGATGTGACATAATAACAAATGAAAGTTAACTTGAAAAATCTTCCATAGAACATTTTTACATAAAATACTGAAGGGAAAATGACAGTGTCTTGAATTGGAAAATTCCGCCAAAGTAACTTCAAGTCCACAAGTCAGCCATTTTCTCCTTGCAAAATGCACATAGAAACTCTCAATTCCCAGCAATACCGTTTCTAGTATAATTTCATCATTATTACTTTCTTAATGAATTCTTCTTCTTATATATTCTCTCTCTTTCCCTTCAGATTACGTACTACTGTGCATTAATCATTGGACCAATGAACTAAAATATGCCTATTTCATTGGTACCCTGCTAACCAGGCTGGGCACACTGGTGCAAGTATGTAACAGGTACTTTAGCACGTTTCTTCAAGGTATTTCTAGGTGCTGATTGGACTACTTTGTTGAAAACGTTCATGTACAGTGCATTTGCAACTCTACAAGTATATTGGAGCAAGTACTCAAGCAAATTCCTGTAACATATTAGTAGCTAAAGCACCTTTTCAGATACACTGCTGAAAACCACTCCAGTACTAGTTTGTTCGAAGATAACAAACGATGATAGGGTGAAACATCGGACGTTGGTTCAATTTTTCTCTTACGAAGATATCTTTTTTCATCGTGTGTTCCACCGTTTTCTTTTGAATTGTGATAGCAATATTGACAATGCATGCTTGTTTTGGTATAGGCGTACGAAGAGTAGTCGGCTGTTTTAGTAAGCAGTTGAGTACGAGAAATTATATTGAATTATAATATAAAAATGCTTGTATTTTCACCTGCTTTTATATCTATATTCATTGAAGAGTTTTCGACGAAAGCTTTATATCGTTATGGAGCAATGTTTTCATGCAAAAAGGGTTCGTTGGAAATTAATATGATGGAAATCACTTAGAAGTCTGTTATTGCGTGATTGAGAACAAATTATTTTTCCATACACTAGGTGTAGTCAATAAAGCGTTTTTCGATGAGCCAGGTGTTGTCAATAAAAGGGTTTTACATGATTGAGTCACTAACTGCGCAATTGCACAAGTTGGTTCTTTCCTATATTTAGTCATCCAGTGTATACACCCATGGCACTTTTAATAAAATATGAATGAATCACTATTTACTTTAGTGGCTTCCGAGGAAAAATGTTAGTAATGCTGGTTCGATTTTGGAACTATACATTTTTTTCACAGTGAGACCTTGTTAGCGCTAAGGAATCTTCACCGAACGTGTCTTTTATGATGGCTGTTTTGTAGAATTACTCGGTAAACATAGACTATTGTAATCTTTAACATACAGAAATCAATAAAATAGGAAAGTGGAACTTTATTACAGATTAACCATGGAAAAATTAGAGAAAAAATTTAAACATATTCTTTGTTAACCAATATATATATATATATATATATATTATTAATACGACATTTATGAATTGTATAAAACGCAGCTCAATGAATTTGTTTATTCAAATCTCCTAAATTTTGCTAGGACATTAACGAGCTTAGCGTTTTCGTTTTCTTAGTCAAAATTAGCTACACTCGCGAAGTGATCACATGGTAGAAAAATGAACTATGTGTAAGCAAAGACTATATGAAAAATGAAAATAAAAAATCACTAGATCTTCCCTATATTGATGGGATTTATGATGATTTATGCTTGAAGAAATCTTGAAGGAACAAAGGAAAGGATTAACATAAAGTATCGCCAAAAATAGACAAGAAACCCGGTCTTATTGAGCAGAAGAAGAGAATCCGAGGGGCAGTCTAGAGGAAAATATTTTGGAAGCAAGCAGAAAGAAAGAAAAAAAAGGAAGTTATGCAATCAAGGGGGAAAAGCGCGACTTCCGTACTTCGCAGTACGATGGAAGTAGAATGAGAGTACATGGAAGTATAAGGGAGTACAAGGAAGTACAAGTAAAGTACATGGAAGTACGTGAAGTACGAAAGTACGGAAGTCGCGCTATTTCCCCCTTGGATGCAATACATTTGTGCTCTATATTTTGTAATATTGATCAGGTTCTTGATGGCAGAGCAGAAACCTATCGACAAAGGAGCTTCAGAAAACAGATTTCATTCTGGTTTCAATACATTTCATATGTCCTAGGCGTCGTTGAATATGTTCTATGCAATGCAGTCGTCGATTTATTTATATATTAAATAATTGCTTCTATGTTATGGAATATGCACATGCACAATTACAGATTCGTGCATCCTCTATCTTTTAATACTAGGTCACATGAACTCATTTTGGTACGGTTGCCGCTATGGTTGAATGGCTAAGATGTTCGAACTTCGAAGCCATCATCTCAAGGGGGAAAAGCGGCTCCTGGAGACTCCTGATGGATTCTAAAATTCACCAGGATCCATAGAATTCACTAGGTTTCGTTTTGATTAATGAGTTTATCTCAATATTTTAAACAATTTGAAGTTGCTAAGGAGAACAGCGAGATTCATATACGTAGGATCTATGATTTTCATTGTGTTTTGAAAAAATGATGAAAGTGACCATTCATTTTTTCAAAGATCTAAATGGTCTATATATAGTTTCTTGTATCTAAGTGCTTAGAAAAAAAACTTACAGATTGTATTGTACACAAAAAGAGAAGAGCCGAAGGATTTCTTTATCATATTATTCTATGACTGGGCATGTGTTACAATAGTTCTGAAAAAATTATTCAGAGCCTTTTTGTAATATACACGATACTGTTGAAACGAAGAATACTATTTTTTTTTCTACCGATGCCTTTGTCTGTGTATTGATTAATTCTTCATGTTAAATTGTAAAGTTCTAACAAGTACATCAGTATGACTTGGTTTGCAACGGTCAGTTCAAATATATGAACTGACAGCTATGTACAAGTTTTGTTTTAAATATAGTAGTGAATGCTATAGCAAAACGTGAAAAATACATGAATCATTGCTACTTACTATGTAGTTAATAAATTCATCACTCTATTCCATACTTTTATGAAAAACCCTACTCATGTCCTAAACGATTTAGACATAACTTCATAGAAAGTCAAGCTAAATTTTCACAGAGTTAAAATCCATAAAACTATTTTTGATCATACGAATTTTTCCTATGAGATTCCGAGTTTTAAGAAATAAAACGCTCTGTGCCATTTGTGATTAGTATTATCAATGGTACAACTAAATTATAATGTTATTTTATACTGCCATCTATGACAATTCGATCAGTGTTTGTTCAGTGGCATACGATCTCTTTCTAAAAATAAAACTCAGTTTATTTCATTGTTAATACCACTAGATTACTAAAAATCGAATGTCAAAATATCACATTATTCGATGAATGGAAGAAATAGGCATCTATTCGTATTTGTATTGATTATATCATTTCGATTCGTACTATGCTGTACCACGTGGCGAAATGATAGAAATGCGAAGAAAAATAATGTCGATAAATGGCCTATGGGAAAAGTAACGATTGAGTCATAGAAATGTGACATTTCGATCATGACGTATCCATAATATTATTTTTCACTAGACGGTTAAGTTGCAAAACAAAATGGCCGATGACGAATTCGATCGAGTATCTGAAATTTTATTTGACGGAATCAGTTCTCTTAGTAATCTTGGCTCACCTGGAACTCTCATTCCAATCACAGAACACACACGTGCTGTTCTTTGCAGTGAAAATTTCAACAATGTGATCATTGCGGCTGCTCGATTTGGCAACGGTCGATGTTTAGTATTTGCACACAACAGTTATACAGAGATTTTTCTTGATGATGAAACAGAAGATAAAGATTTTATCGAGAATTGTCGACAATGGCTTGCTCAAGGACATGATGCTGAATTCATATCGATTAATGATATAGATTCAATGGATCACGTTGTACATGATGGTAAAATACTCATATGGGATGGACATTATACAAAGAATGATGTCTTCATGAGTGATCTGGTTCATATAACTTTTTTTTCTCACACTATTGATCTGTTGAACGTGTCTTTTTACTGTTATAGTACTCATATTTGCAAAAAGGAAGTGCCATAATTTGCGGAGCAACTACCTGGGGTTGGCTTGAACAAAACGAGGACAAACTTCTTTCGGATTTTCCTTTCGCAAAATTTTGTGACTATATTGGTGTGAAATTAACAGCTGACTGTATTGATAGTCCGAATCCCATTTCTTTTCAACCCGAATTAGTAGAATTTAAAAACGTACATCATATTCTTCATAATCTTATTCAAAATCCGAGTAACATCAAATATTTATCGATTGTCGCCGCAGCCATAAAAGAAGTCGACAATATGTTACCTGGAATCTCGGTTGAAACGCTAACAAATATTGTTAGGCATGCTAATCATGATGTAATTCCATCGAGCAATATTCCGATTCGAGATAATTCATGTCGAGAACAATCAAAAGGCATTTGTAGTATTTTGTGTGTACTACCAGGTATCAAAGCTCTCGGTAAGTAAAACGAAATCAATCTCAATACTGCTTAAAGTGTGAGATTTTTAGGTATAAAAGATTTCCCCGGTGATTTTGATTATCCACCAGAAATTGAAACGAATGTGGAATGTCATATTGAATCGAATTCCAGTGAATGGTTTTCTACAGGTATACAACATTATATTCAAAATACTAAATGTCGTTTCGATCGCTTGAAATAAATCTATCTTTATTGTTTTTCTTAGGTTACTATGTAGCTGCTGGCATCCCTATTCAAATTGATGTTTTGCAGCGAATAGGTGCAAGTGGGTGGTTAGCACGAATCGGCTGCCATAGTGATGATCTTGAAGTATGCTTTTAACACATGCATTATTTTTATAGTACAATTGCAACTATATGTTGATTAGAGCTGCAACGAATTTCGTCGATGGTCTTGCATTTCTATATGTAAACCATTGGTTGGCAATTATATTCGACTGAGTTCCGCTTTTGGTGGTCTTCTTTTTCTTGAAAGTCCTAAAGGCGAAATGAATTCGATTACTGTTCATTTACATAATGTAGTTGTGACTCCTACATATGATCTAGTTGATCCCAACCGGGCGGCAAAATGGGAATATCAACGTCAAAATACGCAAGGCCTTTGGGCAGATATTGCTGGTCGACATATTGTGTTCAATATTCCTTCGAAGAGTGTTCGCCATTTAGATGCTAACGAATTAGATCAGGTTCTTCAATTTTGGGATAGTATTGTACTTGCTCATCATGAATTGAGAGGCACAGAACCGACATATCGCGAGCGTATCGTGTGCGATGAACAACCTTCGATTGGTTATATGCGTGAGACTATCGAATTATAACGAATCGCTTTGTTACTAAGGGCTAACATTTTGTTTTTAGATAGTGGTTATCCCATTGTCACACATATGAACGTGTCTGATCCGGAATCGGAAGATTTCATACTCAATGGCAAGAAATTGCGCGAAAATGGTGCATGGGGCCTATTTCATGAAATGGGTCATAACATGCAGCGAGATTGGTGGAGTTTGTATTCGATTATTTTACTTCAGTAACTTGAATCTATTTTGAGACACTACATTTAGCATACGATGGTACTGATGAAGTAACGACGAATATTTTTACTTTGCATGCCATGGATACTGTTTGTCATCATCAAGTATGGATTCATTCTTGGCTCAAGGATAAGATATCCAGTACACGCAAGTACATAAAAAATGGATCAAATTTCGACGAATGGAAAGAGGATCCTGGCATTGCTCTCTTTATCTACGCACAATTAATACGAGAATTCGGTTGGGATAGTTTTAAAGCCGTTTTTCGTCAATATGAACAAGATCAGCCAAGTCTCAACAGCGATCAAGAAAAAATAGACCACTGGATTGAGACTTTCTCGAGTCAAGTAGAATACAATCTGGTACCACTATTCAAATTTTGGGGTTTCCCTATATCACAATCGACTATTGACTCTCTTAATGATCTAACAATTCCAAATATTTCTGATGAATTCATCAAGATAGCACCAGAACGTTATCAAATCTAAGTTTTTCTCCAGTAAATGCTACCGACATATTTATCGATTCATTAAACTGAGCTATACGCTTGCCTCGTAAACATTATATTTTTAAGTTTAAAGAATAACATATAATTGTCAGCACTAAATCGCAGATTCTTCTTAGCCACTAGTAATACGTTTTAGTCATCTGTAACGAATATCTTGGCAAGAGATTTCTGAGAAACTGGTTTTTTTGGTGACATTCTATTCTTTATTTCAATAAACAAGACTTGACTCAAAGCTTAATCAATGAAACAGTAAAAATCTCACAGTTTTTGTTTGAAAAACGGACGCAATAATCTGCGTTAGTTCTCACACCTAGATATTCAATGAAGTTTAAATAGTTTCGATAGTTAAAAAAATTGATTTCTTATAATTACTTTTCTATTTAAAATGGGACCGATTTTTACAATTTATTTAATGGCCTATTTTTAAAAATAATATTTCCAACATAACGAGCACCATATTTAGTCAAATGTGCCCCATCATGTGAGATTAATTTTCCATCACGAGTAAAAAGAGGGCATGTCTGATTATAACCAGTACAGATCATCTTTTGTAAATTGACAAATATCTCTTTATCTATTGTTTGTTCTAATAAATTATTGATTTTAATAACTTCAGTGTTTGGATATTGATATTGTTTAATTCGGTACTTAGTGGATTTACTAACATATACCATTGGATATACTTTTCCAAAATGTTTTGGTCCAATAACGAATGCTTGTTGCTGTCCAGTTAAATTTAATAATTTCAATGTCATAGGCAAACGTTGAGCACTCCATTCATACCAGTTACTAGCTAAAATAATAACGTCGGCTTGACGAATAAGTGGTAAAGCATATTTTATCTCATAAGCATTTGTACATGTTCGATGATGTTTTGCTTCAATGAATTGTTTTCGATCCTCTGCACCCAAATAAATTTGACATCGTGAAAAAATAAAATACACACGAATTTCATAGTTGATCAAATGTTTTCCTTCAGCAGCCATATTATAAAAGTCTTGTGCAAAACTATCACCAATCAATATTAGTTTTTTCATTGTTACCGATGTTTTATTTGAGAATGTTTTTTGTTTTTGTAAAGCATTAACATTAAATGCTTTTACAACATATTGCCAATGACCATAGTTTCTTAAATCAGATAGATATGGATCACTTTTCTTGCTATCAAGTAATGATCGACTAGTGGCAGTTTGAATAAGAAATACTGCAAGAATGAATGCTAACATAGCAGCAATGAAAGCACCAAAAAATATTTGTTTCCTTGAAAAACGCGTTTTATTACGAAATGGTTGCTCAATGAGAACATAACTCAAACCACTAAGTAGAAAAACAATACTTATTATTATTAACATAGGTAATATTTGTGATGTATCATAAGTTTTTAGACGAGTAAAGGCGAGTATAGGTTGATGCCAAAGATAGGCACTATAAGAAATAAGACCCACCCAACGGAATAGACGTATAGAAAGTAATTTTCCAACTAATGTACTGTTTGTTCCACAGAGAATAATTAACGTAGCACCCAATGTAGGTATAAGAGTATAACAATTCGGAAATGGCGGTACGTATCTACTATCAAAGAATACAATTGATATTATAATCAGTACAAATCCGATCAAGGCAAAAAGTTCATTGCATTTGTACCATGTGGATCTATAAAATTAAAAAACAAAAAGGACATCTAAGATGTTTAATTGAAAATTTATTCTTTAGAGAAAAAATAAGTTAGCAACTAGTGTACTGTCGGAATTTTATTGAAATATGTGTGAATCTCTAGTTCAATATTTATTCAAGTCTATGCAATGGCAGAGCGAACAATCAGTGTTCTACATTCGCTTTGTAAATACTTAAACTAGTTTCTCGTTCAAATAGATTTATTTCTTATTCTCGAAGAGAATTCAATAGGAAATCTCTGAAATCATATTCTAGGCAAACATATAAATCGAACTGTGACTGAATCATTATTTATATCAATAAAAAGAATCCTGTGGATCTAGAAATTTTCTACCTATAGACTATTTCTGATCTTCTGCAACTCTTTACAGTATCCATATGATTAAGTGCAATTATGGTCATGTTCCTCCGCGAATTTTTCACAGGCCTTGTTATACTAGATTGCTGCAATGATATTATTCCGTCAGAAAAGTATCTTTTATCATACACTCCATAAAAAATTCCACTATGGAATCGGTTTTTTCTATTTCAATTAAATCACACGATTATAATTTCATAGAAGTTTTTGAAATATGTAAATCAGGTTTTCGACTGCTTACTCCAATTTAAATAGAATTCAATACTATGTAATGAAATTAAAGTTTAGAAATTGTGATATTTTTTGTAACCGAATTGAACTAAAATAGGCAAATAAAGGAGAGCTTCATACATACTGGACTGTACTGTTTTTGCGTAAATAAAAGGCAGCAAAGGAACCAAGTAGTAACTCCCATGCTCGTCCTAAAGGTAAGTAAAATGATGCCCACGAATGTTGAGAAAATAAATAAAAATGATGACTGGAAATAGATTCGATATTGCCACCCCATTGAGCAAAGAAAAAGCTTAGAACAGCCAATAATATCAGTACAATGATCAGACAACGTTGTCTTTTGCCAGAAAAATAACATATTAACGGGAACAAAAAATAAAATTGTTCTTCAACAGCTAAACTCCACGTATGAATAAGTGGATTTAATTCAGTGAGTGCTGTAAAATAACCATCATCTTTCCACCAGAAAAAAAAATTTGACGAAAGACCAATGATAGAAATTAAAGTTTGTCCAAATTCTTCTAACTGTTCTGGTAACATCCAATAATAAGCAAAAAAACTACTTGTAAATAAAATCAAAAAAAGGGCTGGAAGAATACGACGGCATCGTCGTTCATAAAAATGAACAATTGAAAATTTTTCTTCTTCGCGTTCATTCTCAATGACAGATGTAATTAGATAACCACTGATCACAAAAAATATATCAACACCAATATAACCTCCAGCCATAAATTTAGTTAAACCAGCATGATATAAAATGACTGGGATGACAGCAACTGCTCGCAGCCCATCGATCTCATCTCGATAGACTGACATTAAGATGAACAACGAATGTCAAACATTGGTGTATGAGGCATGTGTATATCTGAATTTATCTAGAAAAGAAAAGAATATCTAACGCATAACTATGGTCGTAAAAATTAAAAATCAAATCTCTTTCTGTTGCATCGTGATATACTTAAAAGCTAGTATACTGGTTATCATGACTCGTTTGTCATTACACTGAAATAACTCTGTTATATCTCTTATCTTTCGAATGACGACAGAACGGAGCAAAAGATATCCCCCTTCGCATGGAATCGAACCATGCGCCTCCTGCTTACCGGGCAGACGTATTAACCATTTTACTAGAAAGGGTATCTCTCTCTCCGTCTTACGATTGTATGGGAACAATACGATCGTAACAAACTCTTCTGTTGATATTTTGTAATTAAAATCGCGTAGTGAAACATTTTCATTTATGTATTTATAGTGCCAGCTCTTGTATTTCATAAAAGGAAATTGAATTGCACAAGCATGTCCTCCGTTCTTAACTCCTTCTTTATAAAAAAAAAACTGTCTTCCATGTCTAAAAAGCTTACAACGAATAAAATCCTTCCTTTTCAAACTTGAAGGGCTTTCTAACGAGTAACCGATTCCTTTTCTTCTTTAATCTGCACAAGAAGTGGACAGATTGTTACGCAATAACGTCGAGAGCTGTATATTTTATAATGAGCGTCGAAGCGTCGTCAAACACATTTTGCCGTTTGTTTTTGTCAGTCACCAGTATCTCTTGAAAGACTATTAATGAATACCATTAATTGTTGTTCCGGAAAAGAAGCCAAATTGAACAAGAGATAACTTCTTCCGTTAACAAATGTATTTAGATAATAAATAGTTGAAGGACAAATTCTACAAGAACCAGTGCAGCGCTCTAATATTTAAAAACTGAAGCGAATCTACAGATGTAAAGGTCTCAAGAATCAAAAAGTGCTTGCTTTTTGAAGAGCGTCCACTTACAATCAAAGACTAATTACCCTTCTTATAATAGAAGTCGTCTATTTCGGCATCGATTTTTGTGAACCATTCTATCACTTTCTTTGCGTCTAGAACCTAAATAACACAGATCCATGTACACTATCACAATTATTATACGATGAACATAAAAAGTGTAAATATCTCAACGTGTAACTTTCTAAAACAATTAGTGTGAGTGTTAATTTTTCAATTAAGACGTACAAGAGATTTAGTTTAAAGTCCATTTAATGTTTACAATAATTACAGTATCAAATCAAGAAAAACAACGTATGAATAATAAAAATATTCAGTTAATAACTATAAGATATATCGCAGGGTGCTTGTTAGAAAGAAACTTTCTATTGTAAATGCTGTAATAAATACGATAGAAATTTACTTACCTAAACATCCTTTTCCAGAGAACACTATACCTTATCATATGTTTTTCATTTGATGTATTTCACAGTAATGTAATGAGACTACAACAATAGATGCAAACTCTATATTTTAGGTGCAGTGCGACTTTGCTTAAAAGCTTTTCGCAGTAGTTGCCGAGAACATTGAAATCGTCTTGTGAGATTCATCTTTTTTGCACTAATGTCAAAATAAATCAAAGTACTGAAATTCTATATGAATATTTGCTAAAATACTTGCGCAAATAATATTCAATCAACACTCTGTCAATAAAAGTATAGTTGACTTTTGCTGTACGCAAACTGAAGACACGACAAAACTCGTATAGATGACGAGCTACAAGCAGCCTAAAACTCGAATATGCTACATTTTACTTTCAGCGATAAAAGTTGTGTGTCTGATTACGCTGTGGGGATAACTGAGTGATAGTTGTATAACTACTACATTGTTCTAATACACGTGATAACCAGTTTACTTCAAAACATGTATTGTTTTTGGATTGTATTTCCGATAACAAATATATATCATAAACTTGACCGTTTGAACATAGATTATGTTATATTACAAATTATGCACTGTCTCCGATGATCTTGAAGATTTCTTGATAAAAGTGAAAAACTACAGTAAAACGACAGAACCCGTAGAAGGAAAAAGTGAAAAAGGTATAAAAATAAATGCAACATAAAGAAAGGTAAATATTTGAAACCGATATCATATGTTCTTATCTTCATTTTTTATCATGTGCGCGGAATTTTATGTCGAAATACCCTCGGCATGTCATTTTTCAATGTGATGAGAAGAGCAGAATCAGTGTAGTCCTTGGCATCCATTCTCCTATTCTCTTATCTGAGTTTCTTTATAAATGCATCAAGATTCATCAATATGTAACATAATGATATTAAGAATAGCGTACAGGAAAATATCGGTTGAAGACAAGGTACCACTGTCAACATTGAAGTGATGCGAACTTTTTCGACAGATCGATGTCAATGTACTATTGTCAATAGATATCGCACTTTCAATACGACTTTCGAGAAAATTCATCACTTTAAATCTTCAAGATAACCACTATGAAATCAGCCCAACAATTCAGCTATACTAACTTGCTGGTTTATATCTATTATTGATGTAAATATATAGCTGATAATTAATAGGCGTAGCTGGAGTTTTCATAACAATGATTTTGACTATGGTTGATATAAAGCCATTATAAATTCGAGATTCATACGCCACTTTGTTATTTGAGTGAAGCGTGAATACTGTATGATTACATTGGTAAATCCCATAAATATGTGACTTAATTTACTACGATGTGAAGAGCGTGACATTTGGTGAAATATTATCATGGTAAATAGCAGAAGGAACAAAAGCTATTGTCAACAAAGGAATACAGAAACACACTGACAAGTAGCAACAGTACGGAGAAGTTTAATCAATGATAACTTAGCGAAGAAAAATCAGTCGTAAGAAAAAATAAAGGAATAATATAGGAACTGCATTTTAAAAATATTAATCAGTTTCCAAAAAAAAAGAAGAAAAGTGACAATAACTAAATAATGGGAAAGTTTGTGGTAAAAATATTGACGAAGCATCTTTGAGGGCCTATTATATACTAATTTTAACTGCATCATACTATTTTTAATTAGTTTCTCATCATTTTCAATCTGTCAAGTAGTAAATATAATCTCATGTAAGAAATGAATATGTTCTATACGATCATCTAAAGTGTGAATCAAGCTAGCATTGAAAATTTACTGAAGTTGATACCGTAGAACTAGAGCGATCATTGAGAATATTCCTATCACAACTCGTAAATCTAAGTTGGTAAAATTGAAGGTTAGAAAAACTTGAAAAAGATGTTAATTCAATCCTAACAATGAAAAACTGTGAAATACGCTGGAATTTCTTACGTTAAGTAGTTGGCCATGATTTATAGATTACGATGACTACGGGTTTGGTGGAAAAGGCAGAAAGGGAAAACGTCGAAAAAAAAAGGAAAATACCGAAAGGGAAAACGTAGAAGGGGAAAATGCAGAAATTCTAAATGTCGAAAATTACGTCTTTTGATAATTTTAACGAAAAACAAAAATTTATTCGATCATATGATAAAATACAATAAAAAAAAGAAAGCTAAGTTTATTATTATTATTTTCTTTTTTTGTGTGATCCAAGTAGTAATGCTAATCCCTTCAATAATTGCTTTGCATTGATTACCAAAGCAAAAGAAAAAAATTTCGTTATCTATAGACATCTTTTTCATTCTACGTTTTCCTTTTCAAAATTCTTCTACTTTTTTTCTCTGGCAGTTTTTCTTCGACACTGTTATTAATTAATTTCCAGTTTCGGCGTTTTCCTTTTTTTTCGACATTTTCATTTTCGGCGTTTTTCCTTTCTGCCTTTTCCGCCAATTCCATGACTACAGATTTCTATCTTAAACACTCTACAATTACTCTAAGATCAAATTTTACAAATATAATCAACATCATGTGATTCAAACCTTTTAAACAAATAACAAACGTTTTTAAAATTTTATTCAATATATTTCTTAAAAGTTAGTGACTTCGTTGAATAATATATACTGTTTTGCGAAGAATTATATGAAGGACCAATTGGAAAAAAGCTGAAATCCGTGCTACCAAAACTAAAATATCCATTGGTGAAATATGACGATTCACAGATATACAGGTGCACGTGCACGTGTATGACTGATCCTCACAAACAATCAATGTATACGATTTACTGTAGTATTTGTTATTCACAACGACACTGTGATTACAAAAGAATAGGAGCCGTGGAATGATTGCTTCTTTTATTTAAACAATAGCAGCAGTACGCACGCTGTAAATTAGAAATAAGCAAATATTGAAGAAAAACAATATGCATAATGCCCTTTTCCGTTCTTCATGGTTGTTTATGCTGACACAATATGTATTCCTACTACTCAACAAAAAAAAAGAATTTGTAAGTTATCTTTTTAATATCTCGCATGAAAAAGCTTGAATTAGAAATCAAATTTGAATTAGCATATAATTATCTTTGAAAACATAAGGAATCGTACGGCATGTCTTTCACAGACAGTTGTTTATTAGTGGATATTTTATTCTGCCAGTCAGCACATCGTAGAAGCGGCCAAATAAGCAGATTACTCTCCAAAACAGAAACATGACGTTACTCAAACCGATGGTAACTCGTATTAGCCAGAAAAAGATATTTGTATGTATTATCAAAGTCTACACTGGTATGTTTTAAAGCAATTTTTTTATGTTTTAGCATTACAATCGAACAAATATGACTCATCGGAATCCTACCAAGCAACTTAAAAAACAAGTATACTAGACACAAAATATTCTATAGATGCGTAAAATTGTAGGTGCAGGTGCCGATTTTAAATTATCCCTAGTCAATCAAACCTAAAACTGTATCCAAAATATTCAGTCACAGTCATGCATGTTTGGATAGTGAAAAAATATGCTCTGAAAGTAGATTCATATTTTATTGCTTTTTGAATGCAAAATGCGCGCTTTAATATTCATTTGAAAGTATATATCCCCAACTTGGCAATCTGTGCAATACCATGGCCAACGAAAATTCAAGAAAGTTAGAAAATTTCCAGGATTAAGTTCGAACAGTGGATGCCAATGCGCGAAAAACTTAATTTATAGGCGCAGATAGTCTCAGTTAAGGCTCCACACACGAACTCTATCGTTCAAACATGTGATGCAAGTGGTCAGTATAAACAATAGGACCAAAGCAATGCACAACTATTACACTGATGATGAGAAAAACAGCATACATGAGAATGAATTCAGTGACTTGTTCCTCGCTTCAGCAAGCATGCATAGAGTTTTCCATGGTATTATCTAAAAACATTTAACCTTTTATCTGACTTATATTTGAGTTCAGCTGGACGAAAAATCAGATTTGTGAATGCATAAATATAAGGTCTTCCAGTGTTTGATTTGTAGAAAACCCAAGATGTTTTCCAAAAAGTTCATCAATCGTGTGATGCAATGTTTCTTTTTGCCGTGACATATTACATCGATAGTATTTTCTATCAAATTCTAGTTGAACGATATCCATTCAATTAAGACACTTGATTGTTCATCACCGATCACAAAGTCAAATAGAGTTCAGCCACAGCAAGAACGGGTAACCGAAATGTAATTATGATGTTATGATGAAATTATATTGATTGTAGAATAGTATAATCGATAAGAATCAACAAAAAACTAAAAGAAGAAAAAAGTAAACTATTTGCTTATTATGATCTGTCATCATATTGTTACTGATTTCAGTGAACGTCGAGCAATTAAAATAACACGACCTTGTTGCTTTTGTTTGATGGGTACTGTTTTTGGTGTTATTCTTCTCGCAACACTAGCAACTATTATTGGCTTAGTTGGTATGTATGAATAGAAAAGCTATTTTCTGCTTTTGACTCGGTTGCCAGCTACAAATTCTTGGCAAAAATATTGTGCCAATACGATAATGATTGGTTGAAATATAGATTTATCTAGAGCGGCTTTTGATAACCATTTTTTAGGTTTGTATGAGTGCATCGGTATCTGATGCATTCAATATGTAAATAATGTAATTGTTCAGTTTTAGAAACAAATAGTATCTAATAAGTAGAAAAATACGAATTTCTAAATAAACTTCTATTTTACTCGACTTGAAATTCATATCAATGTAAAAAATTCATTTTTTTCGAGAACATTTACTTTTCAGACTAAAACTGATCTTCATATGATACCAACTTGTAAAAAATTCTCACAGATAGACTGCCACCATCTTTTTTATGACTTAGATCTATTTGTTTAAAAGAGAAGTAAAACTGATTATCTGTAGATTAGGCAGACTAGTCCAATGATTATTTTTCAGATAATTAGTCAGTTTTGGAGAGTATTGATCTAGATACTGCTGATTTCAAACTCGAGTGAGATTTATTATCCTTATATTTATTCATCGAGTTAGCTGAAAATAGAGTGACTTTGGAAGGCGGTTAACTTTTGATAATTAGCATACTGAACTTCTAGGAAAATATCATTGAAATCTGAACAACGGCAAGAGAATTAGATACAACACTCTTTATCGACACGCACACCAAAGAACTATATGAACACATACATTCAGGTTTTCAAAAACACATACACATCCTCGCACCCTGTAGTACCGATAAGATCATCTGTGTATCACTTTGATAGAGAACTATTGTATATGAAGTTCAGCCATATTTGTATTTTGTTTTTGAGAACAAGCTTCTTAAATTTTTCATCGACGCTTTGCGAAGGAATTATAGAGTAGACCATGAACAATCATCCTCATTTGCTTTCCCTCATTCTTGAAATTTGAATGCTTGAGATGTCTAGCGTTGGGTTTCGATATTTTAAAATTGAAACTTCATATAAAATTAGCTAGCATAATCTGAAACACAAAAAATTAGGTTGCAACAAGTAGATGATAGGGACTCAAAAGTTCCTTCAACTCCTTGCCGATTATTTTTTCATATTGTTTACTAGTGTTAGAAATATTCAATCTCATAGAACGTTTAAAAACTGAACGGCAAGAAGAAAGCATGTACGGATTTATTATTTCTATGAAATACTTCATTAAACACTCCAAAAATCAATAAATTACGTCCCATTGAAGAGCAGATGAAAAGAAATAAATCTTGATTGGGCCAGTAAAACAAAAAAAACAAAAATGATATGATAAAAAAAATATATGAAATATTAGATAGAGGGCCGCCTTGATACGCAGGTATTCAGTATAATAAGTTTTATTTGCTGAGGATAATATTTTATAAGGATCTGGATATGAGTCAAGAATCATCACCTATGAAAGTTTTGTTTGTTGAAACTTTCAAAACAGCTTCAATCGAATTCGATATTACTTCTTTGATTCTTAATCAGACAATTGAGAATTATTCAAGTATCGTATTGCATTTATATCACCAAGAATTAAACAGAAGATTATCAACATATGACTTACCTGATAGGCTATCTGTTTGGAAGCTAGTTTCATTTGATTCCTATACAATTTTCAAATCCTATTTCAGCAACACAGGCAGCAAAAACAGGAGTAACAACAACACAAACAACAACGACAACTACATCGGCGACAACATCAACAGCCACGACAGGTATACACTTTTGAATTCACAATCTAACAGTAGAGTTTCGACAGGATGCTTTACGATCCTATTCCATGAAAACACTATTTTGCTAAAAATGAGTATATTTGACATGTTAATTTTTTCTTTTTCTTCGCCTCTCCGCCATCCTGTATACCAAAGATGTGTAAAACCTTAGTTATGTATCAACACTTAAAAAAGCTCTTCGAAAAATCATTTCTATAATTGAAGATCTAATTAGAATGAAGCCCTCTGCTAACATATCAAGACCAAGCTCGGTAGAATCCTACTACAGTATTGTACTTTTTTCAGAATTCTGTTTTGAAGACGCGTGCATCGTTATTCTTATAAATCTCCAGAGTGCGTATATCTGATCAGAGAGTTTATTTACGGGCACGATGCACACAAAGAGAGCATCAATTTTGCCCTTTATGCTAGCCAAATATTGTTCGTCTTAAAAATCCGTTGCTCATTATTATCACGTTTTGACTCATTTTTAGACTAATTTAACTAAAAACAAACTGTTAATGAGCCTATACTCCCAAGATACGTAGGAGACGCGTCAAGTTTTTCGCACAAACAAAATAGAAGCCAGTCTCCATGAGTTTACCTAGCACCTTTGGAAGTATCGCTTTCTATTTATCACATCTCGTTTAGCCACAACCACGACAACTGCTGAATATGTAGATCCTGCTTTCTGGTCCTTTGATAGCAATGCACTTGAGTTGTATAATACTGGTCTTAATGGTATTCTTTCGGGTAGCCCAACCTATACTACGAGTTTTGCTGGATACGGAAACGCTATTAGTCTTACTCAATCCTCTAACCAATATGTTTATATCATGCCAACAGTACTTCCACTAAACTCACGTAGTTTTACAATCGAAGCATGGATTTATCCTATTGGTTTTTCAAGCAGTAGTGACTATGGAATATTTGGTCAGTGTCAAACATTAAGTAACGATTCATGCTTATATTTCCTAGTTCGAACTAACAAATTATTATGTGGATTCTATAATGATGATATACCTGGTAGCACCACGTTTAATATGAGTACGTGGTATCATGTAGCTTGTACCTACGACGCGACTACGATGGCGCAACAAGTTTGGTTTGATGGTTATCTCGATGGTTCACGCTCAGCTAATCCATATCAAGGTCTTTGGGGAAACACGACTATCGGTGCAACTTTTCAATCAGGCAGTGCATCTCCTTTCAACGGTTACATAGATAATGTACGATTTCAGGCAAGCGCTAAAAACTCCAGTGAAATTTTAAACGATGCAACGTTGCATGCTTACTATTCATTTGATGGAGGCTCTCTTATTGACAATGGTCCCAACGGTATCAATGGAACAGCCTACGGAAATCTATCCAGTACAACTGGTCGAATTAATGAAGCTGTGCAATTTAGTTCGGGAGCATATATGTCCTATTCATATAATCCATATTACTTTTTGGGCATTACTGGTCATGCATTCACTATGGCTTTGTGGGCAAAGCCGACAAAAAACAATACAGCAGAAACCCTTATATTTGTAGGATCACATTTAACTGCATGGTGTATATATTTTTTGGCGATGCGGTCGACTGGACAGATAACTGCCAACTGTTGGAATGGTGCTGGTGTAACCACAAATGGTCCCATCGTACCTATGAACATGTGGACGCATATAGGTTACACTTATAGCATAACCAACGGTCTTCGATTATATATTAATGGTAGTCGATACTCACAGACAAGTGCTTTCACGTTTGTTGCTTCTGGTGTTCCGATGAGCATTGTGTTGGGTGGAAATAGAGTTGTTCAAAAATATGTGTGATCAATTATCTATCATAGACGTTTGATCTAGAGTTTCACTGACCAACGTTAATTTTGAATATAAAGAATCGTGGGAGCGCTTGTTCTCCAGGCTATGGTGGTGCATTTACTGGAGTCATCGATGAATTTTATGTTTATAGACGTGAACTAACAGCAGTTGAGATTTTGGCATTAGCCAATCCTTAACTTGTTTGTATGAAGCTCATTTTGAATACTGCATGACTGGTATAAAATGTTTATCAGCTTTCTCTCTTTAAATCAAAGTAGTATGCACTGTGACCATTATCTCGTAATAAGACCAATAATACGAAAGTTTTCCACATAGACGATTTCACAAAAGATATAATAAATATAGGAGTTGTGTACGCGATTTCTAGAAACAACGGTAAAGGATATGATTTATACATACAAAGAGTGATTCACTTCAATTTTCAATGCAGACCATTATGCTCAGGTTCATGTTCGCGTGAGAAACAACATTGTATAGAAAAGAAATAAGAATGTTCATAACTCATATATTTCAAGCTCTTTAACAAAAGTCCTCTTGATGCAGCTGATTCTAGCTCGCAACGTCCTCGACTATTGAAAATGAAAAATTGGTAGAATTTTTAGTTATTAATCATATTTTTGTTTAGATAAACGCTCTTGATTGGTTAATTAGTATTCATGTACTTCTACATACATCCTATTGAAAGTTGTTTGCTCAACAGGAGTAAGAAATGGAAAAGCGGAGTTTGCATGTTCAGCGAAGAACTAGTTATTAAAACCAATTCACGAGAAGGAAACCTGCTCAGTCAAGTTAAGCTTGGAAGGAAACCGATACCATACTGAACCTTAAAAGATTGCAGTTTTTTTTAACATTGACTGAACTATTTATGATTCTATAAAAACAAACATGTTTCTATATCGCATCTTCTTTGTTTTGATTTAAAAGTATGCGTACGGTGTTAAAAGTTAAGCTGTTCAAAATATTTAGTCTCGGACTGCTAATTAAATACGGTTACATCTGACTCTTATCATGTATTTTATAAATATAACCCATTATACATATATACGCTTAATGCCTTAATTCTATATGTAACTAATTTTAACTCTATGGAACCCCACAACACTATCCCTACGTCTACTTTGAACTCAGGTAACTTTGTAAATATTTTTTTAAACGTAAATATCTGTGTATTTCCTCTTCACATATATCAGTTCTGACTCAGGTTGTACTGGTCCATGTGGTGACAGTTGTAGAATAATGTCGAGACCTGTATATTTCTTTCTATTGATAATATATATTTTTATCTTTGTCTATGTTGAATGTAAGAAGAACATATGTTTTATGGTTGTAACAAAGTCCAGCGTGATGAAAGCCAAATAGAACGAAAATACCGTAGTTCGATCGCTTGAATCATCTAGTTGAACGTATAATGTATCATAGAAAACAATCGGTGTCGCAAATATTTTAGTAAACTGAAAATGTAATTGATTCGTTCGATCCAACAATAGAAAGTTTGCGAGGATGAAGAAGTTTTATTTCTGTGGTCAAAAATATTGATAGCTAAATTAGCGATGAATATTCTATTATCTTTAGAAGTCGCTTGAATTGAAGTATGTAGAAGGCTAAATGTTCGAATGAAGTATACGCTTAAGCGATTGTGAGTAAAGTGATCAAAACTTGAATAGTGCAATGACTGATGGACATCGTTTCCGCTTCTGAAAAGCTGAAAATGTAACACTTTCGGGAGGAATCTTTCAGGTGAAATACATTTGAGTGATGTCATAGAAAGGTCTTAATCTTGTGAAACTTGGAACAATATTCCAAAGATTTCCTGAAATTCTGAGAGAGTTCAAACAAACCTTAGGTGCTTTCTCTGGTATCATTTTCTGTTTTTCAGAATAGTGTAAGCCATATGTGCTCGGGCTATCTTTGAAAAAAAGAGTTAAGCTTAGAACAGAATGATGCAACATGAAATTATTTGTAACACTTAAACAAATCTTTTATTTGACATGATTCTCTGAATTATGTAGAACCCTAGATGGTTTACTGGTAACCGAATGAAACCATGAAAATTTCAGTGTCTCTGTTAAATGTTTTTCATGATTTCATGCAACAACTCTACATTTTTAGAGAGTGGTTAATCTATCTATCGGCAAATGACCATGGTCTAGCGATCATGTTGCTGATCATGAGTCCTATTATCAGTTGTAAACTATCTAAACTCACCCGTAGTCAACCATTGCTATGAAAACTTATTGGAAAAAAGTAACCGCCGCTATTGTTGTTTATCAGTTCTGATAATTTTATTTTTAAAGGTCACCAGTTATGATTTTTTCAAGAAAAATGCACACAAATAAAAATTGTCAACTATTCGCTCTGATTTTTTAGCACCAGCACTTGATCAGCATGGCTAATATTAACAGCTACTGTCGCCGGAAGATAAAATGGTTCCCCGTCCATTTGTGCTGTCATCGGACTCGAAAGTTCTATACGCAACTGACTGCATTGGGCAATTCGATAACCGCAAAAGCCAACATGAATCGTAGCCATGTGTCCAGTATTCAAGCCGAGAACTTCAATTTTTCGATCGCCAAAATCTTGACACTCGAAACTACCTGCTGAGTTTGATGTTTCGCGCGCACTTTTTTTGTTCAGCCTGTCCGATTTGACATTTTCATGAGTATCGGCTAATGAACTGAATACATCGACTGGATTTGTCGAATTATCAACTGTAACAGAGCTAGATTTTTGAGCATCCATCGAATAATTGTTAACATAACTAATAAAACTTCTTGACGAAGATTTTCCCCATGGATTCGTACCAGATGCATAGCCTGGAATATTCAGTATGACAAGCGTATGGCAATCACGTATAGCATCAGTTAAATCGCGCCCATCACATATCAAACGAATATAAGAGCTCAGATCCCATATATTCGCTCGAACAAAGTCGCTCAAATATTTGCAACTTTCATTTAGATACATCAGCTTGTTTTTCAGCGGTGACGAAAATTTTGATGGATCACGTGTGCGTTCATCATGAAAATCGAGAGTAATGGCTGCGTCTAAACCAAAACTCATGTAATTGATGAAGCGTGTATTCGGTAACTGTTGATGATTTTCATACAAAGCTCGATTATCCTCGCGAACAAATTTTGGATGTTTAAATAACGATTCCAATGTATTCACTATTGGAAGCCTATTCGCGTGCTGCTGTTGTATTGATGAAGACGAGATTGATACATCGATCTTTTCGACTTGAACTGCCCAACGATCGAGTGCAACTACTTGAGCTTGTGGAATTCGTAGCATTGTATTGAAAAGATTTTTCGAATCATATTGTTCGCCCCATGCTAGTACGCGAGAAAGATCATTGCCCGTTCCTAACGGACAAATACTCACTGGTGGGTTATTTCTCGATGGATAATTTTCGGCTAGACAGCCAAGAATCCAACCCACTGTGCCATCACCACCGAAAACACAAATACGGATATTCGGTAAAGGCGAATAGATTTCAAGAGCATTAGTGATAGTAGCATTATTTTCCAAAAGAAATACTTGGCGTGGATTTAACGTTTTTAAGAGTTCTCGATAAATTTTTTCTCCTACTTGACCACCTGAGCGTTTATTAATGAACATGATAACGGGTGTATACGGCAAACAGCTTGATCCGGCATTGCTATCATTCGGATATGCAGGTAATCGAGCTTGGAAACCGAGTTTCGATGTACTTGAGCGGCTGAGCCATTGTGGCCGAACAATAATATCTCTATTGATGAAAATTAAAATATCAATCTCAACTAATGATCAGAATAGAATAAAATTGTTTTAGATTTCTCTTGAATTAAGCCAGTAAGTAGAATACGGATTCTCGCTTTGTATTTATTACTTGAACTTGATACATTCATGAGCAAATTTCAAGACTTTTTAGCATGAAATTTTCTCAAGTAGCATTAAAAATACTCAGCAATCGATGATGTAATACTATTAAAACACAAATGGGCCTAAAGTGTGTTGTAATTCAGTGTACCTTTAAGCGTCATAGTTATATAAATATTTTTCTTATTCAATCTACGTAATCATCATCTGATGCTTACCGAAGTATTCCATAATCACAATGGATCATATCATCTTGTTCAGCAAGTTGTTGCCAGCACGATTCATGATAACCTCGTGAACACCATAAACAAATAAGACCTCGTGAAGGTTTTGACATTTTTGGACTGAAGTTTCCCGGTAGAGCACTCATAGCCGATGTCAACTGTCCAACGATATCTAAGGACGATATTGGCGAGGATCGGCCAGTTCCGCTTCCGAATAGATTATTTGGCTTCGATGTTCGTTGACAGTATGTGCATGGTTTTGGCAATGTGTTCACCTGAGACCAAAAATGTCGATCGTACTTCGGTGGATTATTTTCGCTTTCGATATTTGCACTTCGTGACTTCTGATTTTCAACAAATGACGGACGACATATTGGAAGCAAGTTGACCTCTGTTGACTTGACGTTATTCAAATGATGTGAATGTATGACTATATCACATGATCCACATTGTAAAAGTGCTAATGGATGTTTTGATTTGAGATTCGGACAAGTCGCATAGATACATGACTGAGCAGTTGAAGCATCCGTGCTTGTGAAAGAAAACCAACAATGAGATGTCGGACGGACGCGATCACTCCACTCGACTCCGTACGATACTGACGTGCTGCTACCAGTTTCAATTGACTGTCCAGATGATGCGTTCTCATGCGAGCTGCTAAAGGTCGAAATAATGTTTCGATCTTTTTCTCATAGAACTAGTTTGATCACTACCTTGTTGGATTCGCAACGATGAATGATTGAGATTCGGTTGATTGTTCGCTCTGCTCTGGTGAACATGCATCAGAAACAGGAACAGTTTGAACAACCACAATATCATCATTTGTATGCTGCACCGGTAATTCTAACAGCAATGGGCCAGGTGCAGCCTGATCAAATGGAATCATTGGTGAAGAATTTGACTGTTTACCTTCGTCATTTTCTATTGGTCTAATACTATAACTATTCGGTTCTCGATTGTTATTAGTCGATTGGTTTTCCAGTGTTAGATCATCGATGTTTGCATGAGCAGTTGAAGTTTCATCAGGGGGCGAATTCAACATCGTTGATGTGGTCTGTGGTAATGCGGCCATAAGCGGTTATCGACTTCGCGTAAAGACAGAGACAAGTGTGATGTGTACACAATTAGTTTAAAAATCTAGAATTACGTAAGTATAGCTCAAGTCACCTATGCAAGAAAGTGGCAAGCATTATTTACATCATTCTTAAAAGTAAATAGTAGCGTGTTCATCATGTAAGAACTAATTGGCTACTAGGCTTTACTCTACTCTATTTGATTTATTTCATAACTCGTTGCATACAGATGGTTCAAACGTTAAAATCAACGATTGTAAATTCATAAAGTGATACGAATGAGAATGTAGGTTGAAGATATTGGTATTCAATTCACTCCCACTTTCTATTTGAAATAAATAACTGGTCTTGCAAGAGGCATTCCTATAACAGATACTAGAAAAGAGGATTTAAAATGGAAATAGAAAGATGTTTTTAGTCAAAAAGGAAACGGAATCATATCGAAAATGTTTTTTTTCTTCCCTAGTCTGCGATATGATGATTGGCTGAAATCAGATGGAAAGATAAAACTTTCTTTTCTCAATGAAACCAACTAGAAATGCATGAACTTTCGATGAACAACGGCAAAACACTTCAGTAGAGTCCTCTGAAAATAATTTCTTAATTTTTGCTTGTTATAAGTAGTTTTTTTAGTAAATCATCTTCATTTTTGTTTCAAAATATTACAGAACTGAGCGAAAATACGCTATTGTCTAAAGTTTAGTTACATTCAATTGTACGACTAATCTACATTTCATTTATTTGTAATTACGTTTCCTGTTTTTACGAGTTATATTAATGATATAACTGTATATGAGTTGATCTCATAGATGCTTTATAAGCAATTACACATATTAATAGAAATGTGTGTAAATAACGATTTTATATGGTTTCATATCATTCTTAGTCAGTTTAATACCTTCGATATCTATGTATCTCTTCATACTGCACATGTAGATATATTGAGATCTAGATGTCGAGTAGGTCTGTTAGTTTTTATGTTTCCTGTATGACAACTTGAATGCAAGTTTTAGAAAATTTCCTAAAAGTTTCATATGGAAAATATGATCTTTTTCGAACGTTAGCTGAATATCGTTAGTATTCGATTGATAATTACTTAAATGTGCACAGAATTATTTTAACAACATAAATCCGATTTAACTGTAATATAAAGGAAGTCTAGTTTAGTTTTGTTATCCCCTAATAATTAAGACTAGTATTGAGGTATGAAAAGTAACAACTCCTATGCCTGACGATAATGCAATGTGAATACATCGTATTAAACTTCATGAAAGGTATGAATATTTCGAAAAATACTAAAAATTAAATTTTTCTAATCATTTCTTGGGATCTGAATCCGTTAATTTTGGCAGCAGAGAATATTAAAATGATAAACATTGAAACAGCGTTCTATAGCACTTAATGTAGCAAGTAGCGATTGCTACGATTAAATACCAATATTCATTCAAGTCTCATATTTTACATAAGCATCATCATAAATTTTTTATTGAAGGAAAAATAATTCTCAGTATGAATACATTTTTTTTGAACAAAACTATCTAAAGTAACATTTAAATCAAGCAACTAAAAGCAATTCATTTCAATATTTCATTCTTGCATACTCGGTTATTGTGTTAGATACCTCGTAAAAGCAAAAATATTACGAAAGAAGATTTCCAGGCGCGAGTCTCAGTTTTTAATTGGATATCTGGCATTTTGTAAAATTCGATAACACAAAGCAATCTTGACCATCGAATATTTTTGAAAGATTTAGATGTATTTTAGTTTCACAAGCATAACTGTAACTTTTATGAGGAATATTTTAGACGTAGATGAATTTTAATTGACTGTAGACATCAACACAGTTAGAATAAGTCGTTGCCTGTGTCTAGTTTTGAACAGTTAATATTCTATTTAGCTTTTTTCTGGTATAGTTATTTGATAAAGTAGAATGGTTTAGACAGCTAGTCGAGATATCATTAGCATCTCAGTTTATTTTCAGCCCTAAACGCATTCAAAAAGATTGAAAATGTCAGCATTTTTAGAAGAAAAAAAATCATTGATTTCTGTACATTGCTACAGATTAGTGCTCATTTCAAAGTAGCTATGGATCCATGTTAATTTAGTTCAAATGTTCAGTCAATAAAATTACATCTACGGGTAAATTTTGCAATGTTGAAAATAGAACTAGTATAAAAATGAAAATTTTATACAATAGTAAGTTACGGTCATCTTTGAAAACGAAGAAATCTATCTGAATCCTAAAAAATGCCTAATTAAGAGAAATTTTTTATGTCATGGAACTCGGCAAGTTGCCATAAAATAAATCAATAACGAAAAATCACAGTTGATGAGCTACCCGCATTCGAGAGTCGATATACATACAAATACAATAATAGAATGTCTCGTGGATGTGTAATAAATCGGCCATTTAACTACTGAAAAACAATCCCGAAGTTAATGTCGATAGTCACGTTTATGTTGAGGATTTTGTCGATAACAAGATTTACCATATTGACATAGAGGTTTATCATTGTCATCATCATCATTGTCATTATCTTTATCGTTATTATTATTTGTTTTTTCTTCATCGTCGTAATCAGAATCACCTGGATGCGATTGTTCACTACGATGTGTTGGATTCTTTCGATAACATGTTGCACCAAAAGAACAAACAGGGCGACGCTTATCATTTGATTTGACTAAATTGAAATTTCAGTTAATAAGTAGTACTAAATATATACTCCTACTTTTCTTCGGAGAGATTGAATCGAATCCATCTTTACTATCACTATCAAAAGATTTTGCTGAGGACGATTTATCTGGTTCTATAATTAATACGTTAAGATAATTAGAACACAATGAAAAACGTATCGCGAATTAAAGCTCACCAGATATATTTGGTGTACCATCGATACTAGTTTTTTTATCTTCTTCAGAACTCACTAAAATGCATTTATTAATATATAGCATTATTATTGTAACACAGCTATGCTTACATTGGCGTTTTACAATAGGACGATCACCAGATGATGAATCATGTTGATGTGTAGAACTCGGTCTAATTGTCGTTTTTGTCACTGGAGAAGATGAAGTTGATGCTGATATCCATGCCGGTAGTTTACGTGGTTTTTTATTCGAATCCAGTAGTTCAGACTCATCCTATGAATTATGTCCATCATTTCGCAATTCATTAAGATAATAAAAACATACTTGATCTTTTATGGATTTGAGACACGAAGAATCACTATCTTGAATAGAAGGTTTCGGTTCAACATCTGAACTTTTTACTCCATGCAAAGTATCTGAAGATAGTATGTTTGTTTGATTTTAGATTAATAGTTTGATAATGAAAATCGATATTACTTGTTGACTGTTGACCAGATGATGAAGACAATTCATCGTTATTATTATTCACATCATTAGAAAAGTTGATGCGAAAGAAAAAACTTGTTGGCAATAAACCAATTTGATCGCCATCTTTTAATTCTTGTTCGATATCTTTTGTTAAATGAACTGTTTTACCATTCAAAGCTCGATAAAATACCGGATTCGTATGAACCGGTTTAATCCAAAGTGTTTCATCGTCTTTCAGTAATAATTCAGCATGGTGGCGAGAAATCTTTTTATCGTTACACTAAAAAAAAAGAAACGTAATTGAGATGGTAAGAATCAACCTTTTTTCACGTACACCTAACGATGAGCCTCGCCCAATAATTAGTTTTTCATTTATTTTGATGGTTATACGATTGCCTTCAGAAATCGGAGTTAGTTCTATTTTACAAGACATGCTCTTGTGTAATTTCAGAGCTGTATGAAACTTAATACTTATTCAGTCCAGTCACTTGCTCGTTTTGGCAACAAGTAAAAACATAAGGTTTCAGTTTTTTCATCAATAGAAACTTACGAAAGAGGGAGCACGCTATCAGAATACATAAAAGAATCATTGAGAAAAAAAAATATGATAAATTTATCTAATCATCAATTGTCGCACAAGAAAACGAACGATTCATGAAAATATAATTAAATCGCAATAAAAATCTTTTTACGATACATCAAACCAGCAACTATAGTCCAAAACAAAACTCCATAAAGATGCATAGCAAGTAGTTGAGCGTGTGTTGCTTCTTCGACTTGAAATTGTATAGGAAAAGATTTTGAACAAACTTCATGACCAACATAGATTACAATTGAATTCATACCTAACCATAAAAAGGGTTCACCAGTAAACCATTTACAAACATCAATAAGTAAGTAAAATATCGTTAAAATTAGAAAAGCTAAACCAGCTAAAATAAGTACAAAACTAAGCGACCAAAGATTTTTATTAATTGGTATCCAACTATCTGAATTACCACCTTTGGACAAGAGTAAACCAATAGATCCACAAACAAAGCCAAATGTAAGCCAATGTGCACACACACGTCGAATACGTGTCGAATGAGCAAAACTATGGCCTGCCTGTACGCCAAGATAACAAAGTAGAGTTCCAGTTAAAATTCCTAAAAGACCTAATAGAAAACAAAACAAAGCTATGAAAGATTCATAATTCAATTTCTTTTTTTCCACCTTCAGGATCATATGGTACTTTAGTATCATAGATATCTGCACATGTCGGATGACCATCCATATGACTATTGCGAAGAATTAATCGATCAATGTATCCAGCAGCTCCTAAAAACAGTTTGAATTAATCAATAAAACTGATACAATTCTGGATTAACCTCCAGTACAGTTTTGATATTTTCCATATTCATGTTTTCCGCCAGGCCCTAAATAACCTCGTGGACAATCGTCAAACTTCAGAATAAATGTAATTAAAGTCCAAGCAAGAGTGATCAATAATATGAACAACCATTGTGGCCAAAAATGAAATAAAGTACTTGATAATTCGATGCGCAGGGCTTGACGAACATCATTACCTTTATAAATAGATATTTGCGTGTAATTCTATTTAAACAAAAAACAAAACCTTACCTATTGGCCATTGTGATGAGTATGGTTCATCTTCATTATCATCAAAAATTAAAACCAGTGTAGCAGCAAAAAAGTAACATGCTGCTAAGCGTTGAAGAACACCAAATATTCGGATGTTTACCCATCTTGAATAGCCACCTTGTAAAATTAAACCTTCAATTTTAACAACAAAAGATTAATACAAAAATTATTTTTCTTCCCTTTTTTTTTGTTGTTTTACCTAAAGCAAAAAGTGTTATGGTTCGTCGACATATTTTAAGAAATATCGCTCGTTTTCGTAGATTTTTTGCTCGGAGAGAAAGATGCGAGAAGACAATCGATACACCCATAATCCAAGTAAACCATGGAAAAACCAAGTCAGCAACCGTTAAACCATTCCAAACTATATACAATCATACGCATCGTCCATAGCTTTCAAATAAAACTTACTTGAGTGTTTAAAAAAACGATATCCACCACCTGACACAAAAAAAAACAATTTAAATTACAGATGCAAATACATACGAATGTCTTACCTCCATAATTAACAAAAATCATCACCATCAATGAAAATCCTCGAAAAGTATCCAACGAACGAAGTCGTTTCGGCAATATTTTTTTTATTCGAATCGAACTATTCGATAATTTTGTTGATCCAACTAATGGTAATTCCCTAGCAGCCGTTAGAGTACGAATAATATCATCATTAGGATCGTTAGCAATCGTTGCCGAACTATTTGATAATGAAGTAAGAAAATCTTCATTTATCAATCCTTGTTGAACAGCATTCGGAAGATAACGAGCTACGATTCGACTACGCGAAATACGATGCCATATCTCAATCAATAGAATAAACCCAAACATAATTGACATTCCAATAATAATTGGCAACCAATAATAACTTGAGTCTTGTGTTTGCTCTATTGAGCAGGAATCTTGATTTTCTAAAGTTTCTATAACTTCAAATAAATAGGATCCATGTTCGCGAAATAAATATGATTTGATCTGGCATCGTAGCGTTTTATTCGTAGGTTCTGCCAAAAGTTGAAAATCGTAGCCATATTTTGTATTGATTATAATAGTTTGATTTTCATTATTTGGAATACTATCACCTAAAGGTTCAAACATACATTTTTCGCATACGACCGGGTTAAAAGTAAATATAATTGGATCTGAGTAATTTTTATTGCTTATTGTTATATAAGCTTCATCGAAACTTAATTGGCGTATTGAACGATCGTTCGTCAATTTTGCTTGACCATACTGAAGAAACTCTTCAATTGTCAGAAGGTAAATCCACAGATAATAAAAGGATTTCATCATTATGTAATTACTTCTTCAAAAAAGAAAGCAACAAATTATTCAACACTGGTTACCTTCGCTAACGTGATTATTTTGAAAAAACACAACCAACTATTTTACACGTTCTTTACATCAACATTCTACATCATTTAAATGGGGCTCTTATCAATCTTTCACTTGAAAACAGTACTGACGTATCTTTCATTATGTTTTGCTTGTTGTCTTAAACAACAACTCGTGAGTCATTATTAGAGATGTTACACACACTGGAGTAACAAATCGTTATTATTCTTCATGAATATCAAAATCTGCTTCATTGTTTTGTTTGTTTTCTTTCGTACAAAACATGATACACAAAATTTATCTTCTATATGTGGCATATCTAATTATGTAAAGAAAGAAAAGTTATTTCGAAATAAACGAACAACCAATTATATCGATAAATCTCACACACAAAAGATTCAAGCGATAATATAAACAACCAACTACTTGAATAAATCCGTATAATATTATTAATATTTGGCTTTAACGGAAGTTTTTTGAAGATTCAATTAATAGTTATGATTTAAGATGAACGGCTATTCTGGAATTTGATACAATCTATGAAGTCGAAATATTTCGATTCATAATTTTGAAATTTAAACTACCAATGGTAATCATCTTGAAAACAATCTCATTTACTTTTTGATATGAAATTCTATTGTTTTCCAAAAACATATTTGAATGGCTATGTCCATTTTCCTATGTTTCATTCTGATAAAAAAAATAGCATCGACGAAATTAGAGACTGATATTGAAATCCAGTAAAAAATATTTCAACAGTCAACTGAGAGACTTTTTTGATTAGTCCAAAAACAACTGTAAATAACAGAATAACATATGATTACCTATTAAAAATTTCATATAAACATATAGTAACAATAAGACAGTTTCATTGATTTCTGTATTCGATTCAAATAATCGAAGTAAACTTTCTTTCTAATTTGATGCCTGTAAATGTTGTAGCACGTCGTATCTTACCAACAGAAAACAAAGATAAAAAAACACGAATTCTTCAATAAAATACCGCTCACAGTATTATATTTTACCGACTTATGTATACGAAAAACACAGCAGTACTATAGATATTCAATAGAAGCACATGAAATAGAAAATATTAAAAGGAAGTATGCTCGTTTTCTGAGAAATTTACTTGGAATCAATAATAAATAGCGAGAAAAACGATTTCAAAGCAAAGACTTTCAAAAATTCATTTTTCGTTTGAAAATTATTTATCATGAAGCTCTACGAAATAGTTTGCATTTAGTCGTCTTCTTAGACGGCAAATATCATACAATGTGTATAAGGAAAAATCGTTTTGAATTCAGAGCTGAACGACCGAGAGAAAAAGTCAGCTGTTTTTTTTTCGTGTTCGAGTAGTATATAAGAAAATGTCAGGATTAAAAGGTTTAAAGGTAGTTAGCTTGAGAGAAGCATCGAAAGAAAAAAATATAGAACATACAAAGATTTTAATATTTAATCTTAAGCAAACATAAAGTAACGGCTGGTCATTATTTGAAACCTTTCGATAATACATACTGATGTATTTATACCTCATTCCTACATGAAATGTAGAAAAACAAAAATGCATCGTCATATTCACTGTAAAAAATGATATGCGTCTTATTTGTTTTAGATGTTTAGATGTAATATATGTTGATACGTCTCGGACTTTGTTCTAATTCAAGTATGACTAGTCCGTTACACACACGCAATGATCAGTGTGAAGCTAGCACGATGAAACAAAGATTCAACTATAAGTCTTCTCAGAAGTATTGCCGGCCCATAAAAACCAGATCATTCGATGCAGAATTTAATTCTGGATCGGATGGTGATACTTTTATTTCCCGGCAATACTTTGAAAAAATTCTATCCGGTTTTTCTTGTCCTATTTAGAAGAAAACAAATGCGTAGGTAAAATGTCTTCCTAAGTATTGCCGGGGAATAAAAGTATCACCATTTGATTCAGCATTAAATTCTGCATCGAATGGTCTGGTTTTTATGGGCCGGCAATACGTCTGAGAAGACTTATAGTTGAATCTCTGTTTCCTCGTGCTATCTTCACACTGATCACGCAATGTATAGCTCAAACTTAAAGCGTTTACATGAACTATTCACGTTATGTATTGTCTTGTAGAAAAGCGTAAGTATTCTTTTTCTTTCAAATTTATTTTGAAAAAACAATTCGGTTTTAAATAAATACACAAATACACGCGTATATATTACTTCTTTTTTTCACATTGCGCCTTATCTCTTCGACATGAATCGAATAGTACGAATTAAGAAAATATTGCAGATAAAATAGTTTTCAATTTTTCTCATCAATTTGTTTTTGCATATTTTACTTTCTTTTTTTTTATAGTCGATGAAATTCATCTTAATTATTCGTATTATCAAATGTTTCTTCTTGTATCTATTTTGTACTTATCTATTCTTGAAAATATTTGTGGTTCTTATATGCAATATGATATATCTAATTCATATTGTAATATTATACTTTTTTGAATATATTTTCTTTTTTTTTTGTAGATAAAAGTATTATCATCTTTATTTGGGTGACTGGAAATTTATTATTGAGTGCTAACTTTTACCCAGGAATATTTTAAATTAATGAAGTAATGACCTAAACTTAACTGAGCAAGCATTTTTGCTAGGCAGACATTAAGTCAAGGGGGAAAAAGCGATTTATGAGTTTCATGATTTTTCTGAGTTTAGCTGATTTAAAATGAGTTTGAGAAAACGAAAAATTTGCTAAACTAACTAAAAACTATTCCAAATCATAAATTATTACTGAAAATCATTCAAAGGCACCGAAACTCACGCAAACTCACTCCAATACAGTTAATTTATATTGATTGTAAGTTGAGTTTTACTGTGATTTAAATCAGCTTTTTCCCCCTTGCATTAAGTACTCCTTCTATTCTGACATCTATCTTCCTTAGACATTTCAGTTGATCTGAGACTTGTTGATACTTAAAAAGCGTCTAAACGAAATATATTATAACCAATCCCAATTAATTCGAATTGTCTTGAATAAGCCGACGAGCTGTCTTGTGTATACACTTCATTGGTCTTGATTTTTTGAAGTGCCATTATGTTCGTTGTTCTCTTTTCTTTTCTTTTCTTTTCTTTCATCACATAGTATATAAATAAACGTGCTGATACGTAACTCATATCCAGTTTACACTCAGCTTATTTTTCGTACTGTACAACATGTCAACAAAAGCTTCAAGCGATATTAAACTTCGACTTCACTATTGGAATTGTCGTGGTCGTGTCCAATCTGTTCGTTATATGCTTGAAGATATTGCATATACACATAAAAATGTTGATTATAAAGAAGATTTCGAATTACTTGAAAATGCAGCTGAATTATGGCCTAAACACAAAAGCGACGAATCAATTTCTGGACCCTTTCATAATCTGCCTGTATTTCATTGGAATGAAACTGACACATTTGGTCAAACATTAACAATAGGTTGATTCAATTCGTAAACAATAAATTACATATATATTTTCTATTTTCATAGGTCAATTATTAGCACGAAAATTTGATTTATATGGTAAGGTAACGTCGTCCATTAAGGATGAAGATCTTTTACATGGTTACATTGATGGTGTTGTTTCATGTGCATATACTGATGTTATATCGAGTGTTTTAATTTGCATATGGACCTGTACTCAATTTGGCGAGGACAATAATCCATCGAGTCGTTTCGTTGTGAAGATATCGAATGATTTAAAAGCTTTGAATAATTTACTTAAAAAAAGTTCAACATCATTCTATTATGATCAACCAGAGCCAACAATTGCTGACTATTTTGTTCTTGAAGCTTTTACAATAGCTCGTGATTATCATCAAGAATTAATCCCGAACGAAGAAGACGTTCAAGCATTAATGAAACTCGAACGAATCATGAAAGAGCGACCAGCATTAGCTAATTATTTTAATAAAGGATCATTATTTAAACGTTTTACTGGATCACCAAAGGAAATTGAATATATGGCAACACTTGCTGCAACAAAAAAATAATTATATTCTTGTTCTTGTTACTTTTTTTCAATTTAAATAAACCTGCTATTGGAGTAGCTAGAAACTCATCCAATTAAATTATGTAGAACATTGATTATTGTAACAGCAGAAAATACTACTGAACTTATTTATAAACCATAGCTACCTGATCTCATCGAAGGAAACATTCCTGAGGTTTTTATTAGAAAAAAGGATGCAATAAAGAACAAATGCATTTTTTTTCTCTAAAGATGGTTATATTATTTGTATATAGTATTACTATCTTAATTGCTTTGCTTACTTGCATCTCTAATATATCGATTTATGAATAATTTCCTAGAAACATGGAGCAAATACTGAGGAAGTCATATATTGTGACAAGGGTAAATGTAAGACTCGGTCAGAATAAATGACTTATCAGCTCATCATTTCTATATAGGTGTTTTTATACAGTTTGTCATCGAGGTATTGTAATAAATTATCTTACTCTAAATTGTACCAGTGTGTTATATGCTATAAAATATTGTAAATGTACAAATGAAACTATGCATCATAAAAGAGATTTAGAGTCACAGTAGAAACAATGATGAATAAGGTTTGTATTATGATCTAAAGTGAGTTATCGAAAGCAAGTCTTTAATATTTGCCCACGACAACATCTAAAATTCAGTCGACAAATGGGAAGTGCAGATAAATCCCTAAAAGTGATATTAATGCTCCAGTTCACTATATGATATCCTAAATAACTACGACAATTCGCCGGAAATTATTCACAAACCCGCGTTCGAAGAAACTAGGTTATGAAGGTGCACGAAAATGTGTATATTTCCGTCTTGCACACTACACAGAATTTTGTTTTCATATTAAACTACTAATGAAACGTCAAGATTATTAGAAATTCTAAATGTAAATAAGTACAATCAAAGGCTCCCTAATTCATAATTTGTAGACAAAACAGACTAGAACGAACTTTTGCTTTAATCAGAGTACTCAATGTGACGACTTGCCATGTATGATGAAATGCCTTTAAGCGCACATGCTGATGCACTTAGTCATAGCACATCATCACTAGTCTTAATGAATTAGTCGAAAATCAAGCAACACAAGATTCTGTCTAGTACGAATCGCACTCACCAAAATATACAATGACTGTATACATCGGAATTCAAGAGATATGCAACAAATGAACTTGGCTTCAGTTATTCATATCGAACTACTTTAGTCACTAGTGTTCTATCTTCGTAAGGAGTTTTACAATAGTTCATTAATAAAATTCTGCTTTGAGACAGACAATGATTAATTCTGATGTCGCTCTCGTTTAACAAAAGTAACACATAGAATCGTACATGACATCTATTAATCAGATCTTCTACGTCGGCAGGTAAATAATGGACGAAAGCGTGGTTTCTTAAGTCAATCAGCTTGGCAACTCCTCAAGAAAATTTAATGTTGCACAAAAAATGCCCGCCGCAACAAATGCTGATGCCTCGTTTTTGTTGCATCGACTTTTCAGGGAATACCAAACGAGTATTTTCATTGTGGGCAGTACTGGTAATACTCTAAAATAATGATATTCTTGAATTATTTGAATTGCTTTACTTTTGTGCCTAGTGGTTGCTGCTTGGTTATTCAATAAACTGTGGATCAATCATCGATTTTATCCGAGTAAACAATCGATGCATAACAAAACTGTTTTAATTACAGGAGGAACTATTGGCATTGGCTATGAAACTGCAAAAGATCTTCTTCAACGAGGTTCGATTCATTTCTCTATTAAGTTAAAATATCTTAAGCTGTCTACAAGTAGAATGTTTTTCAATTGAATTTTTGTATGTATTCATAACTGGATGGGCCATGCAATATTTTTATTCAAACAATTTTAGGAAGAACTTTGAGAAAAATGATCTTCTAACTCCAAGATTCTAAACCTAAAAAAAAACGTTTTTGAAATTTTCCGATCTAATTTTTCGCAAACTTTACCTGAATTCGTATTTCTAGATGCTGTATACGTTTGATCGAATTCGACTTGGAGTATCATACAAACATAGAATAAATAATTTTAGTTTACGGTTTCATTTATTGTCGAGTACCAATAATCTAAATTCAGAATAGATTTAACTTAGTGTGACTTAAATTGATGTTGGCGACGAGTTATATGTATTAGAAGATTGTATTCCAGAATTTTGTAAAATAATCTCTAACTGACGTATGCTGACAGAAAGATCGTACTGATCTAATTTTTTAGTCAATATAGACTTCTAGAGAAAGATTTACTAAATAGTTTCTATGGGAACTCTGCCATCAGATGCACGCGTTCTTTATATTAGTGTTAATTAGGGACCTGCGGGACAAGCTTTGCCGTGTCGCGTTGACAAAAAAATGTTTAAATATTGCGTAGTTCCATCAAAGAAAACAAAAGATCTTTTCTACCTGATCAATAGGAAAAAAAGAACAGTGAAAATTTGTCAAAAAAAATTGGTCGAGAAATTTATAGATAAAAATAATTTTTTTTTTATCAAAAATATGAACTGGTACTTTGAACTCTGCTCAGAGTAAAGAAGACACTTGAGAAAAATAGCACGCCCCTGTTTCCATAGTATATTACCTTTTTATATAACCGACGAAGAATATTTTAATCTAATCATTATTAGATCAGTCAAACCGAGCTTTTTGCGATGGATGCTATTTAAAATGTATTAGCTTATTTGAGGTAGTGCATGTCTATAATAACTTCGGTATATCTGGCACACATGTGCTCTCTTTTATATCAACAATTAGTCTATCATTGTGTGAAAATTCTTTTCTTGTCATTATTTAGCTCATTACTATCAACTACAAGTTCTACTTAGAAAGTTTTTTTTTAAAATGAAATTCGACTAATCTTCGTATGAAACAATTAACGTCGATCAATTTTCGTATCGATTAATTTTCATACACTCGGACAAGCACATACACCTTTATGTACAGATAAAATTAATAATTTGTTATTTATTAAGAGAAATATGCGAGTTTTAAATGAAACTTGTGCTTTAGTTGTTGAAGTGTGCAAAGAAAGAAAACTCAACTGACTCAACGCCTTCTGTAACATCAGAAAAAAAATAAAATTAACGACAGGAAGCCAATAATTATATGAAGAAACAGCTGAAAAAGATAATGCTGATGAACAGTTTTCAGTACATCTTCTAATATCTCTTTTTTTCTGCTTTCCATTTAAACATTAAGATGTTTATTATAAATAAAAAGGTTAAAGTACTTCACACGTTTTTATGTAATTTTAAAAATTCGGGACACTGGAATTTTTCGAATTGTCCCGTCCTGCAGGACTCTAGTGTTAATCGAATTTACTAGTAAACAAAATGGTTAGAAAACATAAGTTGACATACCTATAATTAAGCTATTACAAAGCTCTCTAATCTGAATAAACTAATTGTCTAGGTGCTCGAGTTATTATTGCTTGTCGAAATTTGAACAAAGGACGTAATGCAACGAGTAGACTTCTCAGCGAAACCGACGCTAATGAAGATAGTATTCGATTGATGGAATGTGATCTATGTTCATTGGAGTCGGTACGAAATTTTGCCAGATTATACAATGAACAAGAAGAAAGACTGGACATCTTGATTTGTAATGCTCGTCTGAGTTGGTCATCGCCCATTATAACTAAGGATGGTTTCAATGCGGTGATTCAAGCCAACTATCTTGGCCATTTTCTTCTTACAAATCTTCTATTGAATAAAATGAAAAAATGTCGACCAAGTCGGATCCTTCATGTTTCATCTGAACTGCATGCCGGTTATAGATTGATAAATAAGAAATAGGAAGTCTTTTTTTTTCTTTTTGGTAATTGAATTCAGGCATAGAATCCATTGATTGGTCCGATGTTTTTACACAATTTCGAAATCCTCATTGGCATGGTGCCTATCCAACGTCGAAACTATTTCAAATTCTATCAGCACTCAAGCTAAAACAGGATCTATATGGTAATATATTAACATGATACTTGTTATTGATTTCAGAAGTATTTTTATTTGAGCTGAACGTATCGATGTTTTTGCATTGACTCCAAGTTGGATGCCAACTTCAATCGACGGTCGATCGGTAAAAGCTATTATTTGGTTAGCATTCATTCTCTCGTATCCATTCGTGCGTTATTTAAAATTTCTATTTACCAAAACGCCTGAAATCGGTGCACACACAATTGTCTATTGTGCTGTTGAACCAACACTCGAACAGTCAAATCATTTCTATTTTCAGTAAGTCACATTTTCGAATCTAAGAATGGAAATGGCTTTTGTCTGCCTTCGTTTAGAAACTGTAATGTTGCACAGCCATCGTCCTTAGCCATCGACCAAATAGTAGCTGAACGGCTCTGGAAGACAAGTCTCGAAGCAGTGGGACTCTGATGATAGAATAGGAATATTTCCGAAATTTTCTACTAGCTAACTTTTCATCACTGAAAAATTGTTTCTCATTAGAATATTCATTATAACAGCACTCTAAAAGTGGACTCCAAGTTAAATGATAAAATGAACGTATCATATATGTCTAAGACTCAACACGAGTGTCTGTGCAGTTCTTCTGATCTTTCCGACTGCCGTCTGCAGACGATCATACGCACATGCTTGCATAAGAGAATACTATTCCTCCATTAGAAATGTAGGCAATACAGTGATTTATTGGAAAGAAAAAGTTCGTAAATTAAACGTTTGTATGGTGTTGAAAAGTTGATTATATGAAGTATATGAATATACAGAAGGAAATAAATTGAATAGTTGAGACGGAATTTGCGTTAGCTCTGCTAAATTGGAATGTTCCATTGCATTCAATTGTACTGTTCATAAAGGTCTGAATCTGTTTATTTGGCGCAATATTATGATTATACTGTTGTACCATGCGTTGAGTGGTGCAATCTCGATGATCATTCTACGAACAGAAAACATTTTAGTTCAGAATTCTTGGATGGATCATACTCACTTTGCGTGGCAGCTGTAGTGTTCGATTGTTTTCGCCCAAGTTCGCAATGCAATTTAGTCCAGATATTGAAATTTGGTCATACCTCGATGGAGGAATAGTCACCTTAGGTTTGGAATTCACTTGCAGCGAGCGAAATTCATGGAAATGTTGAGTATAGAAATTCACTAATTGACAGTACCTATTAATCTCTTCTCTGCCGCATTTTCTGTTTGAGATGGCACTTATCCATTGTTGTTTACTCAGATTTGAACTATAGAATGGTAATTGATTTCTAATATATTGACTGTACATCGGCTGTTGATTCGCCCCATCCCACTTCAAATTATTCTGAAGCCTACCATATTGAGTAAGACTTTGGTCGTAGTTCGTGTTTCGTATGCCATCTGGTGACTTATCTATCATATTAGATGGGAGGATCGGTCGAATAAGTTGTGGAGAATCGTAAGATTGAAGCTTATGGTGTTTTACCATTGGTGATTGATCAAATCGACCGAACTTGAAACGATTGTACCACTGATTATTCTCATTATAGGATTGATAGTCATTTTTATTCGATTCTATACCATATGGTCTGTTTGAATTCGGTGTGCTGAATGGTTGCTGGATTTGGGAATTCGTATTTGGATAATTTATAAAAGCTGATTCAGTGACTAAAACTAGCACAAATCATTTTCGAAACTTTGGCGTTCAAAGATTTTTACCTGCACACAGGAAAGTAGCAACAAAGACAATGATCACAGTTTTCAGCATGTCTGTTATTCGATTATAACCACTGTTCTGAGAAAGAGCTTTTGTGTGCCTTGAAGTATACAATCAGACCATAAAAATTATAAGCAAACTTTTTTCTCAGCTAAGCATGGCTACTAAGTGTATTTGGAATTAAATTGTAAAATACCAACTGAGTCATAAATTTAACAGTGCGAGTATTACGTACTAATAAACGCGAAAGAAATCACGAGTTCATATTTTCTATAGATAAAATATGTGCCCTCCAATGGATATGGTATACTGTTCATATTAGCTTCTAGAATTACGTTAAGCACATGGCATACAGAATTTTGTCGCAATCATAACTTTACACATGCAATATCTTTGTCATGCATAATGTTTCCGTAATATAGCTGTAATTAAGAAAAAAACCAAGAACGATTCGAAACCATGAGAATAAATTTCTTCGAGTAAACCTTAGAACATGTAGAAACCAGTCAGTGTAACTTCAATTGGTGTCGAAAAGATAAAATTACTTACAAATAACGCTCGTGATTTAAAAACGATGCATCGTCTTCAATTCTCAAATGTAACCGCTTGCTATCTTTGTGTGATTAGGTTTTTTGTGTACTCAAAAAGTGAGTACACTCTAGATTCGGTCAGTGTGTCCGTCCGGACGTTAACACGATAACTCTTGAAAACCTCATCCAATTGTCTTGAAATTTTGTACACAGAATGATCTCATCAATATCTCAGTCGAGTTCGAAGATGAGAAGGATCCGTCAAGAAATGGCTGAGTTATCAAAAAGAATTGTCAGTATTGACCAGACCATCCCTGAGGGGGTGTACAGGAGAGTTTTTTCTTAGAACTATTCACAACATATATAAATCGACTCAGTTTTTGCAGTACACATAACAATCGGATGCGAATCCGATGTTTCCGCATTTATTTACCAATAGTATTGACCAAATGAATGCTAACCAAACAGGAAAATGAGTTTCTTCTTTTGTATAATCGTTTTTGCTTTTTTCAAAAACGAAATCTTGTATGTTCTCTTGCTATTGATAAATGCCATAATTAATTTTTTTTAATTCTTGACAGTACATAAAAACACAGTAATACGAAAACATCTCGCTAAACAACGATCACTGCTTGAAAACAAGTTAAAATCTCATATTATTCTTTCCAACATATTTTTAGGCATTTAATTTAATTTTATCAGGCATGATAACGTATTACTTAATTTACATTTTAAGCTGCTGCTATGTATAACGAAATCATCTTAGTTCGGTTCCAAGCGGATTTATTCTGACAATATAAGACTAATAAATGTACATATTGAACCGGTGTTTTGCTTTATGCCCTGCTGTTCATGATCAGATCTTAGATTCTTAAAAAGTTTCCCGATGTGATTTAGGTACATTTCATATCCAATCGGATAATATTTCATTAATACTGCATTTAATATGTTTGCATCTTTCTATAGTGGACCCAATGAAAATATGATTCCAACTAGGGACAGCAACAAGTAAGTTCTTTGACACGTATGACTGATCGATTAGCTAATGAAATCCTTGAAGGCGTTAATATTGATTTAGTAGATGATCATCACCATCGTTCTTACAGATGACTAATACTCATTGGAAAATGCAACATGCTTATGTGTATAATAATTATAGAAATGTATGCTAAAGAGAGAAAGAGCGACGATTGAAGAGAGAACTGACAGAAAAGGAAGAAGGAATAATACTATAGCTGGAAAAAATTGAAATAAAAAACAGAACCATTTTTGGCACTTATACCAAACAAAACAACGCGAGTTTGTCACGTATTGAGTGTGAGTATACGCTTGGAAGGAATATTCATAAGCCACCGCGCACACTCCCAAGATTTCACCGGGAAATACTGTTAAAATTGCACTTATTCATTTGGTTGGTGGATTAATGAATAGAAAAGATTTTAAATCAACATCATTATCTAATCTCATGTGAACCATTTAGACTTGTTTCATGTTATGTGGATACATTTGAGATAGAAGACTGTTCATTGACGTTGAATTATTAATAGCAATCTCAGCTGAAGTGACTAGTATTGTAAAACTAAGTACTTCACTATGTCACGCTAACGCAGCATAAATATCAGTCACAGATATAACAATATAGTTCATGGGACGTACATAAATATTTACTGTTTCATATGCTGAAATGGAAACGTTATATAAGTAAATATCATGAAAACTGAATAATCTATACTAAATTAGCCATAGATAAACAGTTTTTTTGGCAAAAGCCGTACAACAATCGATCAATACGCATTTTCTATTATCAAATAACTCTTAAAAAGCAAAAAAACGACTTCATATTTCATTAGAACGCTAATGTAGAATCTGCGAAAAAAATAATTTGAATAAAAATTCTTCAAATAAATGCATATTGGTTTGAAATTCTACTTAAATTATCGAAAATGACTGAAAAGTTATATAGATAATGTTTACGTGACAATTACGTAAACTATCTTAACATTTTACTGGCCTTGCAGTGTCGGCTACAATGCATCCATCATCAATTACAGTGTTTTCATAAATTCATTTCAGTTACAATGACTGATATGTAATACGAGTTCTCAATCGAACGCATAAAATGAGGAAAACGGTTGATTTCAGAGAATAGCACACAAGTCAATGTTATAGACGAATAATTTCTAGATCAGACAATCAAATACTAATAGCTTCCAGTCGCTTGTCCCTGTACGATTACCCTTGATTATATATAGTATATACAAGATACTGATCTATTCAATCTGCTCGCTAAAGAGCGCATAAAAAGTATTGCAATTTGAGTCAACTGGCACGGCTGGATGAAGCAATGAAAAATCAACATCAGTCTAGATACTTGTTTATTCTTTGAAAACTCAGACGTTGTCGTAGTTATCGAATATTTTGTTTGAGAATATGATCGAAATATACTATGTATGTATTTCTGTTGTTTCTCTAGAAATGCGGAAGTAGTCCTCAATAGTCTCTTTACATACCTACATATTCAACTATTCGTGTTTTGATAGGCATTTTCTATAGAAAGGAAGCAAAAAACAATTGTTTGCATCCTTATTGCCCGAGTCTGCTGATTTTGTTCTGTTAAATTCACTTTTTTTAACAACGAACTCATGACAACACATCAAGCATCGATTGCTTCATAGTGTTTTGCTTATGAAGGAAAAATTACAGGCAGAGAATACGAAAGAGAGCAAGAGAAAATGTCTGAAATAAATTGAAGCTGTATTTTTCATTGTGCACATGCATCAAATAAATATAGTCGACAGTTGATTTCAAGGTGAGTGTGCGCAGCTTTGTATCAAGAATTTTCTTTCAGGAGGGTTCTCCCTCAAAAATGAAACTTCAAGAAAACGTATGGTGTATATCATTGATGCACATTTTCGTATATGTTCGGCTCAAGAAAATAGTTTAAAAAAAATATGAACGCATCGATTCTTGTAGGTACATAGATAGTTTATGATAGAGTGAGCTTAGTTATGTCTATTATGATTATTGTCCAAGATTTAGATAAAATTCGACAGTATAACCAATTTTTTTATAGAAGCGTAACGCATCGATACTTTCCTTCATTGTCCAGTAGCTGAAGAATATCTGTTATTCATAAAGTTAAGCTATAGTTCCAAAGAAATTCATGACATCTACAACGATTGACGTTCATTTCAAGCAAACTGGTGAAACTATACATGTACCAGTGTCGTTGGGATCAACGATGAAAGACATTATTCAATATGTGTCTGAAAAATCCAAGCTCAATGGAAAAATTGATTGTGCTGACTATTATCTTGTTCTGTTACACAATGACAAATTCTTAAAGAATGAAACGACTGTAGAAGAAACTGAAGTTCTCACTATGGAAAATGCGCGATTTCAGTTGCGCGAGAAAATAGAAATACGTGAGCAAATAGCGGCTCTTGTTAGTCGAAATTCAAGTATAGATGAAGATGAAAATTTAGCAAAAGCACAAATTCTAATTAATGACAAACAATCAATAGAAACAACCAATGCAAATGAGGAGGTACGTACAGATATAATCTTGCTGGTCTCTTTTTGGGCTATGTGAGTTAGAGTAAATATCACCTAGCTAAATTTTTCACAATGATTTCTATTTTCATGTTAATAGCCATTAATGGCTAGTTCTGAAGATGATATTTCAAATAATCCACCACACGATCAACTTGTGACAGAATCTAGCATCGAGAAAACATCAACACCCGAATTACACTTAGCGCTTTCTAATCAGCAAAAAAGCGAAGCAACTGTAGAATGGCAACAAAACGACGTACCACCTATGACTCGATCTGAAACATTATCAATTACTGGTTTGTGTAGAGATAACTGTTCTGTCACATGTGAAACGTTGCACTCTGTTGATACGTCGGAATCGATTTCAACAGCAAAAACGACCTTGAACTCGAATATCTCTGATTCATGTTCATCATATTCATTAGATGCCCAGTCTGCACAAGAAGAAAATCTAACTCGCCGAAGTGCCTTAGCTGACACTTACTTAAAAGTGACATCTGCAATCAAAGATGTGATCGTGGCCGCTACTCGTGATCCCATAACACGTCGTGATATTTCTAGCAGATTCAACGAAATCAATATTGTCTTATGCGGCTCACCGCGAGTTGGAAAAAGTTCATTGATCAATGCTATATGCCAACGAACTTTGGCTAAAACAAGTGCTGGGCTTGGTTCCTGCACGCATGCAATCTCGCGTTATATCCTCAAAGGTAGCAGCGAGAAAGAATCTGAAATAATAAACTATCAATATAACTTCTGGGATACGCCAGGATTTGAAACTTGGACGCAAGAAGAAATTCAAAAGCATTTAGAACGCATCTTTAAAAAGCCGAAATCCGATATACTATGCATGATCTACTGTGCATCGCCAGGTTCTTTTGCAAATCTACAACAGCTACATTGGCTGCTAGATGAATGTATGCGTAAACAAATATTTTGTGCTCTCGTGTGCACAAATAAATGGGGCGGGCAAAAAAAACAGCGCGACGCTATCATGAAAGATTTTCAACGGTTACTCGAAAACTACAGTACCAAAACTCGAGAAGAAAATGGTATTATCTACTTTGGTAAAAAAGGGTTGTGTACAGCTGTGAATAGCGAGAAATTTGTGGATGAAGATGTAGACAAGACGTTCGAACAGTCCGGCATCGATGAACTTATTTTAGGTATTATGGAATCACTCGACGACGAAAAATTGCTTGCATGGTGCAAAGTAGTGTTAGAAAACAAATCGTTTTGGAAAAATTTATTTAATTTTCCAGGACAACTAGAATCCCTCTGGAACAGATTGCTTCACAGCGCATAAATGAAAGTAGAAAGTCAGGCGTATAATTTTGATGTTTAGACAAATAAAATTTGTGACGATCATAGACATATTATTGGATACTATGCACAATGTGTTATAATTTGATTTTAACTGAAATTTTTCCCCTGTGCGCGGTAGTTTTAAAAGGCAACGGTCAACATTTCAATACAACTCTTGAAAAAAAACATCTAATTTTCTGTTTGTCCTTTGTTCAAATAGAAAACTATTTATTCGCGTTCAGCGCATAGGTAGTGGCTAGCATAACAACAACGATGAGATTTACCAGAAGCAAAGTTAGGGTATAAAAATGATATTCGTTTTTCCTCTACTCTCGTCATGAGTGATCATTGGCTACCTATTCCACGAATTTAGACCTATATATCAGATCTCAAGATTATTCTTTCAATTTATCGGATCAATTTTGCCTCAATTAAACAAAACTGGATGGACCCTTTTATGACTAACGATTATTATGTTTGCTACAATCGTATTCATTGTAAATGCGTTGCATAGCTCTGCTAGTATACATATTGTCTACAATATCAATTCTAGTGTGAACTCGCGATTAAAATAGCGTGGTTTTATCAAGAGGCATGGGCAATTAGTCAAACACTTCAATTCTTTCATAGGCATTCCGTCGAGATCAGAATATGATAAAAATAATCAACGTAATTCGAGATTGCGTTCACTGTGATAAGATCATGTTTTTATTATTTTCAAGAGATCTCTAAGTCAATACTAATCACGAACTCTTTAATTTGCTTTTCTAAGTTGATTCATATCCGCCTATTGACTTTGAAGGTAGTAAGAGAGATATCGAAATAGGAAACGGCTAGAAAAGTTTGATAGTTCTTGAATTTTATTTCTGTTTTAAGTAGCATTCATGAAGCGTAATTCTACCTTTGATTTGCAACGATTGCATTCATACAGAATTGATTTAATCTGCTCCTCAATAAAAACAGTTGTGATAGAAATGAAATTAACACTATGCTGATATAAGCTCTGAATTTCTTGGACCACTTTTTCGTACCAAAATGAGTAATGCGCATTCCGGTTAGTTCTGAAATTAAAGTTTTTAAAGGTATAACAACTTTACTGCTCAGCGGCTATTCAGCGCTGTTATACTTTCGGGTGTCCATATCGATTAGCATAGCGTTCCATTCTTTAAGTCACACTGATCGAAGTTGTTCGTAAGTTTTCTCCATGCTATAAAGTTTGTGTAGAAGCAAGGTTGGTTGTTTATCTTTTTTTTTTTATCTCTTTCAATATACTGGAGCGGCGGAGTGTCACTAAGCGCTAGGTGAGGCTCATAATATTTTTTTGCTACCGTGGAATTTTATCAAAGTATCAAGAAAAAAGATGTCTTCTTTCTTTCGAATTTCAGTAAAAATAAAAATACTCTACATAAAAAAAGAAGATTAGAAAATACCAAAAAATATTTTTCTTTGCTTCTGCTTTGATGCAAAAGTCGAGCAATAACTTTTCAAGTCAATAGAACGGTTTGCCCATCTAATGCTATACTTCGATGATCAAGTTATTCAAAATTCTTTTTCCAGGCTGACATCTTAATAGACCATTAGATGCTTATTTTGCGCTGGTTATGTATGTAGTAGTTTTTTTTCTGGAAAAAATGGATCTTTGGCTTCGTAAATCGTAGTTAAGGCTTTTTAAAAATCGTATTTTGAATTTTTAAACAGAATTTTTGGAAAAATGCTGCCTACCATTCCATGTTCGCCGTAGAATTTTATTCTCTAAAAAATAGCCTGCTTATATTTAATTTTCACTCCTCAAGACAATTTTTACACTGTTGAAGAATTTTCAACTTTCCGTGACGATCACGATATTCCGCTTCGGTGTAACAACTTGCTGTTTTACATTGATTATATATAGAGAATAGACCAATTACTCCAAAAATGAAATAAACCTGAGCATGTTAAGCGGCTCAAAATTGATCAACAAAAAACAGCGTAAAAGCGTTACATGTGTTAGATTATATGCTTACATTGTAGCAAATCCTGAGAAAAAAGCAACAATCTTCAGTAGAAAAGAAAGTGAGGCTGAGCCTTATCAGCTGAAATCTAGGTGAAGCTCAAGCCTGACGGGTCTCAGTGTCTCCCTCCGCTGCCTATATAATGTATGAGTATATATTTGAATGCTTTTTTTCTGTAAAAAGAAATTATTTAAGCGAACAAAGAAAATATTAATTCAGAATGAAATCTATTTATTTTTCTCTTATTTGGATAAAATATGTTGCGAAATAATAATAAAATATACTTTTCATTTAGTTCTGGTTAACATGTCCTTTTTCGAATTGAAAAATACGTTCTGAAATCTGAATCCTGTCCTCGTTTAGTAGATGCTCTCTTGGTCTTATTTTTAAATATTAAAAATAAACTTCTATTTTATAAAATAAGCCACTTTTTCAATAATGCACTGTATTCGAGAAAATTCAGAATTAGTTTTTATCTTCATATTCAGAGTACAACTCTGTTTCTTTGCTCTATCCTATAAGTACAATTCACAGCAGATACGACAAACGAGTGGTCCTTGTATTACTGCAAGGACCCTAATTATAATGCAGAGTAATATTCTAAATTTAATAAAAAATCTGTATAGAAAATTCAACATATCGAATTACAAGAAATTTTAATTCCAGATACAAAAACCTGAACAACAAAATCGGATGTAACTCTCACCATGCGATATTCATAGAACGCACAAAATTAGCAATGCATACAGTGCAAATGAGAGATCATGAATAGATGATAGGGTGTTGTTTCAGATTAAGTGACTGTTCAGTTTCATCTTGAGTTAAGTATCAACACGTTTGTTTATGTTGAATAGGGGTGTCACATTCAAATTTAAAAAAATTTATTAAATCGGGAAATAAATTTTCAAAAATTTAAATTTAAAATAAATTAAATTTTTTTTAAATGAAAATTTAAATTTAAAATAAATTTAAATTCAAGAAATTTAAATTTAATTAAATTTTAAATTTTGTATCATTTAAATTTAACTAAATTTAAATAAAATTGTTTGAAATTCAAATTAGTTAAATTTTGAAAACTAGCAGATAAAAATAGTTTTTGACGTGATTGCTACTATTTAAAGTCAAATTTGAGTATGTTTCCTGTTTTCTAAAGTTAAAACTAGTCATTCTTCTATGAATTGTGCTATCATATATATTTTTTTGAGTTTCCCAGTATT